CATCAAATACTTTGGTGGTTCTGAAGTTTCTATTACAGATCCAGATACTACTTCTGAAAGGACAAGGGTGTATATTAAAGAATATTAAATGAAAAAGCAAGATTTTAAACTATGAAAATTATTTTGCCATTGAAATACACTGTCAAGCCTGTGTAGTCAACAAAAGCTATTTATTTGGGTTCAGTGAAATCATGATACTTATAATCTCATAGTTTTCTAAAACCTATTCTGAAATGAAGAATTCATTACTTCCTATGAAGCATAAAAGATTATTCTCCTGTGTAAGAAATTTGCTTATAATGAAGTGAATCCTTTGAGAGAATTTGCAGTTCAGAATAACCCTATACCGCATTTTAGAACAAAAGAGAGAAAGATCTTTAGCACTTACGACTGTGCAGGGAATATCTGTGAACTAGAAAAGACTTCATTTGGTTATCACACATCAAATGTAACTCTATTCTGACAAAAACACACATGAGAAACTACTGTACTCTTTCAGTAGCTCACATGAAGTCTTCTTGTTTCTAGTCAGCATCAGCTCAGAGAAAAACATCAAATACTAAACGACCAGCTCCATATCCCATAGCACATCACTGTCATTTCATTCTCTTTATTAAATATTGATCTTTCAGAGTCAACTAAGAAATTAAGCTGGATTTACAAAAACAGTAACTTAAGTGCAAGTTAAATCAGTCTTTCTTTGTAAGGTCTGACAAAAGAACAGAAGACTTGAGAGTACACACATAGATTTAGATTGGTTTTTTGTAACAGCAGCAGTGCTGTAACTTGTTGTTAAGTGTTAATTCCCATAGACTTTGAGGAAAAAAAATAAAGTTGATCTAAAACCAGAGGAAAAGTTACATAAATGAAAGCTCAAACTAAAATATTAAGTTAAAAGAAAACTGAGAGAATGTTCAAGTCTTTACATGCTCTTGTTCTGCCCAGAGCTCATAGCTAAGTTACGAAGCATCATATCTCATAGCTCATTTCTTTGTCTACATCAGACTTTTCTTATAGACTACCTCACCAAATGGGCTCAGCTCTTGTGGTTTTTGTCAGTATGCTTCAGCTTTGAGCTCTGACCAGTGGGGAGAGGAAGTAAAGCATTGCAGTGAGCAATCCCTACTCTGAAAGCCACATCCAGTGTTGAACAAATAATGGCTTACCTCAGATGAGCTGTATTTTTATCAGAAACTCGTACGTTAAAAAATGCACATGGGATATTACAGTTCAGACCCAAGAGGAGGCCTTATGCAAATCAAAGCATTTATTAAACCTTCCTAACATAATCATAGTCAAGGATGATCAGATCCTGCAGTAAATACTACTGCTGATATTTATGATCTGCACTTGGCAGCCCATTTTATCTAATGGAAATCAAAAACCAACTGTCAGGAAATCAATGAGGATGGAGAAAAAAAAAAACCCAGATGCTCAATGAATAAAACACATTAAGAAAGAAAACTAATGAAGCTGGTAGCCTGATGATTGTTTGTCTCAATGTAACTACCTAAAGCTGTTCAGAAAAGCAAATTTTAAATACTCTCCAAATGTTTGAAAACAACAAAAATGCAAATTTCTCCTTAGAACTATATGAATCAGGACATCAATTTAAATGTCAGGATCCATCAGTTCTTGACTTCATGGGAAAAGGTCTTAAATGAATGTAGGCATGTGATATCTGCTGCATTATAAATACTCTAATTAAAAATAAAAGAACATGAGAAAGTGAGTGATATAGCAGGCAAATCAGCAAAGAAAGAAGCATGTCTGAGTGACTGGAAACCTCTCTGGCTTGCAGAAATATATTAAGGAGCAAAACTAAACATCAAGCATTGCCAGGAAGTTTGTGAAGCCTTGCAGATTACCAGGTACTTTATACAGCTTTGCAGAGATATGAACTCCAAGCATAATCTAAAAAGACTGCTCCAGAAAGGTCAACTGATTTATACGACTGAGAACTGCAATGAACATGTACAAAATTTTGTGAACTGATATTGTGTCTGTGCTTTCGAAGGTTTCACTGCTACAGGTCCTTGTAAACCCAGCATTTCACCATCATGTACTTACTTCAAACTTTAAACTGAAAATAGAGTATAAAAGCAGCGTGCATTTTTATTGTTGAAGGCCACATTATTCATAGCATAAAGATCAAAGCTAATGAACCAGTTCTACAGACAGTTTAACTATTCCAGTTCTTGGCTAAAATATATTAAATAGGAACAACAACAACAAAAAAGTACTTGGGAAAAAACCAAACCAACAAACCCAGCCAAGAGTCAAAATCTAAGTTATTTGATTAATTCAGACATTAATGAATTGCTATAATTTACCTTTTAATCGGGAGTCCCCGCCAAAGGCACCACATCCCCAGTTTCCTGTGGCTATTGCAGAGAGATGTTGAGGTGGAACATTGGGTCGAGAGAAGCCACAGTAGGCCTGCAGGCAGACAAGAGTCAGAAGATGAAGTTGACAGGCAATCTGGTGCAGTATTTTCAAACAATAAAATGCTAACAGTAATCAGGATTGTCTTTTAGCACTACGAAATTCAAACTACTTCAGTACATCATTAGTCTTGCTTTAAATTTAAGGTCAATCACTGAAGAATTTAAGGTAAGAAGAATTATATGAATCCAAGTTAAAAATGAGATATGAGTGCTGACTCCTAGGGATTTCATCACAGCTATAGGAACTTTTCAGGATAGCCAGAGCAGAAAATAACTTTTAACTGTACATTGTACCATGTGTGTTGCTTTTCAGCCCCATTTAGCACACGTGACAGCTGAACTGCTGTGTCCAGTATTACTGAAATCCCTCAAAACTGAAAATAAAATACAAAATGGCATCGTAGAATACAGGTCTAATGTAATAAATGAGGGCAGGAGGTGAAAAAGTTTAATAGTAACTGAGAAATCTTGAGTAAAGGCAGGTGTTTCCATGTACAGAAAAAAGGATAAATCTCTTTACAATTGCCTGGTACAGATTGAAGTACGCATGCTTTTACTCCAAGCAGATTTAAGCTGCAAATTCAGACTTCTGTTAGTTATAATTTATCAGGGTACCATGATTCAGAGTTTGCATAAGGAACACTTGCACACCATCAGGTGCATGCAGCTTCTTGAGCTCTTTCAAGTAAGAGCTACTACTAGTGTGCTTAATGTCCAAAGCACGTTTGTACAAAACTAGTGGGCCATGCAAGGTAGTACTCTGTGTGGACAGTAATTCTTCAGGCTCTATACTCCCAGTGAGGGAAATAGATTGGTGTTGCAACAGGATGCCATTTTTTTTCAGCTTTTACTTAATGGGGATGTATTTCTCAATTTGCCAGGACATAGAGAACAAAAACTGTCTCATCAGAAACAGTAAGAAAGTCAGCAAATACTTGGGAGGACTTCAGCAGCAGTGAAGAAAAATATTTAAGTAAGTGCTCCCCTATGATTTTAGATAGCAAATAAAGGATAAAGATAAAACCAGTCACTTTTTTTTAAAAAAAGAGACAATGCACCCCTATTTTAAATAGGTTTCACCAAGGAACACAGGAACATGAAAGCTTTCTGTGCAGTTTTAAAGCAGTTGCTTCCATACGGAAGCAGAAAAGCTGTTCCTTTTGAACTACATAAGTGAATCTGGTTCTAAGTTTTACACAACTTCAAATATATGGTATCTCGTGTGATGTTTACAATTTGTTTGTTTTCATATAAAACTGTTATATATGGTTCTCAAGAGTTAACACCAGTTGAAACATAACTGTCCTGCATACCATAATTCTTAGGGATGCACTTCTTGCCAAATAGGAAGCTGTACCTTTTTTTAATCGGTGACTATCAAAATAGGCTTATTGACATTTATGAGTGGGATTGCAATCCCAACTGTAAATCAGTTGATTCTTAGGATTTGGAAAGTGGAACTTGCAATTGCAAAACTCATTGCTAGTGAAAGTCTTTATCAGGCAGTAATTTCAAGGGGCTAACAAGGACGAAACAGTGACATCTCTTACACATATATCTGCAAATCTTAATGCTGAAATCAGATACAATGATTTTTTTTTTTGTCTTATTCTGAATAGCTGACTTTAGACAATATTAATCTTGTTTTCTGAGTATGGGTTAAACCAGAAACAAGGGTCAGCCTCAGACAGCTACCTTTGGAGAAAACTAACCCAGAGTGAACATCTGGTTCTTTAAGACAAATATATCTTATAAAGGGGAAATCATATAAGCTTATAAGAAAATACAAGTTGTAAGAAGAATCACTTTAAGTTGTTTCAATCATTTCCTAATGTCTAACAAAATAACAAACAAAAGAACCTCTGGATGCTGAGCTGTGTCTACTAATAGATAATACACTTGTATTTCAAAGCTTATGTGCATACACTGTGCTGACTGAGTCCTCATTTATTAAATCATAACAGAAATAGAGTCTCAGCTTATTCCATCAACTTGTTTCCACCCACACAAAAATCTTAAGGTTAATATTAATTTTAAATCAAACTGAAAAAAACCCATCACAGTACTTAATGAAATTTTTACTGTAGTAAAAAAAGACTTAACTCGGGCTTAAAATTTTCTTTAAATACTAATCAGTCCTCATCACATAACATCAGCCAAACTGATACACGGTATTGAAAGTTGCATAGATTTACCGTAATTTATTTTAAAAATCCAAACCTAAGCAATAATATTTAAAATTATAGGCAGATCATAAATTCACTAGAGTAGGCAATTTGAATTTTGTACTAAGATACCACTGAAGTTTACAAAATTTATTTACTGTCTTTTTTCAGGGCTAATTTCATTACCAACCATGAAGAAACAAGCTGATGAATGTTACTTTAGTCAAGATGCTAAGGTTTTACAACTAAATTAAATTAGTCCTTCAGCACTGTACATCATTTCTGGGAGGGGGAAGAAAAAAAAAAAAAAAGAGAAAGATGAGATTTCTGGTATAATTTCTTTTCAGCTGAGAATTAGGAACACACTGCCCTGTGTTTGAATTTATTTCAAATGCATCCTATATCATCCTATATTATTCCATACCCTCCTATACTAAAGAAAGCAGGAGACACTAACAACGGTAGTATTGTGCCCTTATATTTAAGAAGCTGCATCTATAAACACAGAAGCACACCAAGAAGACTTTATAGGTAGCATGTTTTGACCCCAAGTATAAGCACACTAGTATAGTATAACTGTATAAACATTCTTGTACTCAGCTGCCCAGTAAAAATAGCATTGCCATTGCTGTAACAGGCCACAGACCTTTCACTATGTTTTACACTCGCCATGCAAGGCCCTCATTCTGGCCCATTAGCCTTCTTATTAACTTATGAGAATTTGCTGTGTGAACTGGAGATTGATACCAGGCACCTCTTGTTAGGAGATAAAATTTATGCATGGAATAACAGCAAAGGCCTTGAAAACATTGGCACAGGCTGAAAGCCAAGGTCTCAGAACTCCAAACAGCTCACTGATGGCAATTACTAGTCATTGAGAAAGTACAGCCTCACGAGCTGGGAAAAGACTCCTTTAGCTTCAAGAAAAGAAGCAGCAGCAAAGCAAGAAGAAAAACAAATAACATTAAAATCTCAGCCATGCAACATGATAAAGCACCTGCCATGGCTTGGGAATGTCACTTCAAGTTCCCAAACATTATGCAGCACATAGTCCAGGGCAGAGACCAAGGGCTGGGAACCATCTAGAAAATGAAATATCTTGTTTGAGGACAAGATCTTAGTGAGGGCATGGGAGTTAAAAAAAAAAAAAAAAAAAAGATGCCCACTGCAGTTCCAGTTTCCCTTGTCAGAGCTCTTCAGCCTGGCAACTTTGATGACTAAGACCATGAAGGACCATAGCCATTGCAGCAGTGCAGTTTTATATACACACAGCTAATGCAGGGCAAGGTCAAGGACTGACTGCTTTGAATACATAGTGAAAATGATTAATAATTTGTAAGAATTATTAGTAGGAAGTGTGCTGTTTCTGAAAGTCAGTCTAAAAGTTTTGTTTCAAGGATTAAAACTGGCCTCATTTATCAGTCTTCTGAACACCTGCATCACTGTAAGCTCTAATTGGCATGTATACACACATATTTAGGTGCAACAGCCCTTGCAGCTATTGTGCAAATAAAGAGAGATTTATGAACAGCTGGATCTGATCTCAAGACAACATCAATATATGGAAAGATAAACTTGCAGGTAACACAGCAATACCCCAAGAGCAAACAAGAAACATGGAAGAAAAGCAAGTGGCACCATATTTATAAACTGTCTCCATGTTAAAACATGAAGCATCTCCTTCTCCACCTTGACTGCAGGGCCAAGTAGGATTCAGCAGGGCCGATCAGGGGAAGAGAACTCAAAATCATAATTTAGAAGCAGGACAGGGAAGAGTTAACAAAACATATATCCAAAATTTGTTTATATTTTGGAAAGTTAAATAAAATACACCTTTGAATAGCATATCAAAGGATGAGAATCATTCTATTTGACAAGGTTCTGCTTTAACACTGGACAGTAAAACCCTGAAGCACACCTTTTATAAGAGACACAACGAAGCAAGAACTTCCCTAGCTGAAAATACTAATACAAAAATATTTGAAAAGGTACTATAAACATGAGACTGCAGGTTGTTGTAAGAAGTTACTGGCCTTATTGAGCTCTCTTCTAATTTTCTCTGGACCAAACTGATCAAGGAAACGTCTGAAATGAAATGCATCTATAGCAACAATTTCAGTGTAGCGTCGCTGCCATTCATCCCTAAAATTGGAGGGAGAAGAAAAGTGGATGACATTAGTTGTTTAATATTGGCCATATAATCATGATCCAAAAATCAGCAATTCCCTGCAGAGCTTCTCTGTTAGAAGCTAGAAAGGTGAGCTCACAAAAGACAATTTTTTCTTTGTGGGTTGGGAACAAAGGCAGTATCAGAAATGAGACAGGTCTCCCTATAAATTTAGAAATACTCTGGCTAGACATTGTGCATAAACGTGAAACAAATCTAATTACACAGCGTTATTTATTAAGTATGTAAGAACACTGCAAGGTCAAAGAAAGGCACTTTGGCTCTCTGTCTTCTTTCAACATCTAAATGAGAGTACATTGTGTATGTTTCTATACTAAATGAATTTTGTGTGTACACTATAACATTGTTGGAGAAACAAATTCAAGAGCTCAGAGCTTTCTACTCAGATTCATGATATTAAATCTTATTTTGCCACACATCTCTGCACTGTGGCACCTGAGGCATCATTGTTAAACTTCTTGTGGCATTACAATCTACAGTTCGGTCTGTATCTTAACAAAAAATTGGACTATATACATATAACTAAAAGATGTTGGTTTAAGAACTGACATATTGTGAGGTACCATTTATTAGCATTAATATCTCATTATTAATATGAGTTAACTTTCTTAGCTTACTGGCTCTACTTAAAAGAGCAGGATCAACCAGTCAAATTGTCTATTAAGGCAAATGCTAGGAAATACTTAAAGCACCAGGTTTTCAAGTTTATAACATTTATTTATTCATTCACTTGAAATATTTATGTGGAACTTTACCTCGGGGTCTTATCTTCATGGCTTCTTGCCCACCGGTAAGTTTCTGCATAGCCTGTGTACTCACTGTACTGCTCAGTACCTGAAACAGATGATTTTCCATATTACATACAAAATATGTACATATTTTTTCACTTGGCAAATATTTCATAGGAATTGCTGCTTCTCCGAGTGAACACACAGCCCAGTAGAAGCTTCTTTTCCACAGATGACAAGTAGCATCCACCATAGCACGTTACATGTGCAGATCTGTGTATGCTGTCCAGTATATAACAAGAAGATAGTTTTCAACTTTGCCACTCTCAAGTTTAATAGCTTCTCAATAAACTGCCTGTCAGTTTTTAAGTTTTACTGGCTAATATCTGGTTAACAAAGACTATGAGCTTTCGCGCCACCACCAGTTTGCTTTTCTTTTCCTTTCTTGAGGCTACTACTACCTGTAAACACAATGATAAATAATCAACTCCACTACTGAAAACGTGGCAATCTTACTTCATCACAATTTAGCAAACACCTGGGCTGATAGTTTAGGAAACACAAGAAGAAAAATATAAAGAGATTCAAAATTGTATGTGATGAGCCATATAGAATCCTAGAATACCAGGTTGGAAGGGAGCTCAAGGATATGTTTATACACTTTATTTCTCTAACTAGTTTTATTTCTCTAACAAAGTTAAAAACCATAAAGCCAAAGAAAACTCTTATCATCAGAAACCAAGCAGATTTCCAACACGCCAGTGTGACGCAGTTTGTTGCCCTACAGTCTCTTGAGTGCAACCTTACATAAGGATAGGTAGGACTCCCAAGTCTCATTGCTCAATTTTTTTCTTTCCCTTGTTATTGTTTTGTTTTGCAATTGTTCAGCATGATTTCTGCACTATGGTTCCTGACATGAATCCACATGCAATTAATGATACCACAGCAATTAATGGCACTGAATGGACTGAAAGGCCACTGCTCTCAGCTGCAGCAGTCAGTACCAAGAACCTACTTTTGTAAAAGCTCAAGGACCCACCAAACCATAGTCTGGAACATACTTGGCTGCTCTGTGAAAAAAGTCCATCAGAGTATCTTGGGCAAGCAAAAGTAGCTCATTAAGATCTCCGGTAACTTTAGCTATTACGCTCTGCTATGCCAACTCCTTTTCAAAGGTTTATTCCAAGACCAAGAAGGAAAGCATTTTAACTGAGAGTAAGGATCATAACCTTTCTAAAAGGCTGCCTTTCACATCATTTTACTGAACTTTAGGACCTTGCTTCAAAACCTGGGGATGCACAAATGCTTCAAAGAAATACTCCTAAATAACGCTACAGCAAAATCACAACTTTCCCCCCTCTTTTGAGCTCACAACAGCTGAATTTCAAAAGTAGGACAGAAAAGAATACTTTGGAAAATTTCAACTCATACAGGTACAGTTTGGCACAAGTTATAAAAAATAAGAGTAAGAAGAGAACTGTTAAGCAACTCCTTAATTACAGTGTCACCAGCTATGCCTAGAAATAGAAAAACAGGTTTTAAAAGCTGACACTACAAAACATCTGATCACCAAGACAAGAGTAATGTCTAACTATTGCACAGATAGGTGATACTCTGAGAACACAAATGTTTAAATTTAATAAAGTTTTTCAGTCTCTAAATAAAAACAAAAGTTGAACAATCAGAAATATAAACTATTCACTTTTAAACTCATCTGACAAGGGAATCTGAATGCTTGCTTTCAATAGTCTCAAGCATAGGAAACACAAGCTGTTAGAAACTGTTTAAAACAATGCACATACTTCTAGATATTTTCCCCATTTACCCAAATTAATTTTTACTGAAAAGACTTACCAGCAGTTCTTTAACTCATCTGTCCTATTATCCACTCATTTGTTTAGATTTGTCCAGACAATGAACCATTTTGAGGGCACACAAATTGCACTCAAGGCTATTTTGAAAAGTTGCTATGCAAAATGAGTGAGATGGTAAAGGATTTCTCACCAAGAATTCACTTTGTAACAAAATCAATGTCCCAAAAATTGTGATGGCAGAATATGCCTATATATTCACACACATCCATGCCCCTGTACAAAGGACAACTGTGAACAGCTTAAATATTCAGAAGTCAGTCTTCTAATTTAATTGTAGGCTATTAACCTTCAGTAAGACTTTTCCTGACATATGTAAAATAGAGTTTTCTTGATATTCTTCGAAAAAGTGTCTGAGCAAATAGTGAAAAAAGACAGACAAGGGAAGCATGTAACTTTTCTCAAAGCTCTCTTTAGGGGACAGCCCAGAAAAACTTCCAGCTTCGAAAAGGAAGCATTTCCTTCAGTGTCTATCATGTGAAAAGACTAGGTTATCAATATGTTGTAACAGGACAGATTAAATGACAGTCAAAATATTAAGCTGACTTTTTCAAGGTTCATTGTTTTCATTAATTTTTATGGAAGTGCCAAGTCTGATGACAAAAGTACCATGAAACAAACAAACAAGCAAATACACCTATATTAAAAAAAAAAAAAAAAAAATCAATAACGGAGAAACTCAAAGAAATCACACGAACTCTAAACTCATGTCCCAGAAACCCAAAGTTAATGAAAATCAATGGGTTTTCATAAGTGAAGCTCTGGAAATTTGTCAAACAAAAACAGTTACTCAACTGCCAGTACTTTTGCCTGTGAACTACTGGGATACAAACTGCTGTTGCTGGGAGAAAGAAGCAGTACAGGGCAAACTGGATATGCTAATGCTTCTGGTGAATCTTTTTTCTTCCCATAAAAAAAAAGGAGTAAAAAAAAGTCAAGCCACAAATAAGCATAATAGCACAGTCCCATCAGAACTTCAAAAGAAAACCTACAAAAACTTAAAAAGCCTAAAGTCAAAAGAAGTATAATTCAAAAATACATTCGTTGTGAAACTTGCAACAGTTACAGCATCAGACAGTGAAAATACCAAGTGTTAGTGCATATTGGACCTCATCCATCTAGAAACAGTTGCAGTTATTACTAAAAATAAATATACCTTTCCCAGACCCCATAGTCCAGCTTTTCATTTACATATGATCTGTATGTTATTATAAAATTCCCAGGGACTGGGAAAAATCCCACCATACTGTCCCTCTAGTATTTCTTATGAGCTACAAATTATATCTCTGAGGAGCTGGTACCTACCACTAGCACCGAATAAAAGAGTATATGTGAAAAGCGCAAGAGTATAGTTTTGTAGTCACCAGTATAAATGCACATTTACGGACAAAAGTGAGGGTAAGGTCCTTCTTTTCCTTTCAATCAGTTCTTATGATCATTATCTTGCGCCACCATTAGTCTTCTGGGTCTCCAGACAGTGGCACAATCAGCCTGCTAAATCCAGCTGAAAAAATTTTTTCCTCTCTGAGTAAATTTTCAGCTGAACCAATTATCTGATCTCATTTACTGCATGGGTAATGTGCTTACAAGTCTCGGAAAACGCAACGCTAAGGTGTGGTCAGGACTGGCCGTTGTTCAACCTGCAGATTTAAAGCAAACATGGAACACAGCTTCATCTGCTCTTCATATTGCCTGAGTATACGTGAACTCAAAAAAGGGGGAAAAAAACCCCCAAACCAACCAAAACAAACAACAACAACAAAAAAGCATGAAAAACACTGATTCACAGCTCTACTAGAAACGCAGCTGTGGGAATCTCTGGCACTGCTGCTGACATTTCTGTAGGTACATGTCTGTGCTGATGAACCTGACTGTTTGCCTGACCACTTTCATATTCATTATAGCAGTGATCTTAACCAGATACTGTGCAATCACAGCAAATTTAATTTCTCTCCAATTTTTCAGACTCTTCTGCAAATTTAAGCTACACAGTTGTACCCATTATGCCACTGAGTCAAGATGCATCACAAAGAATGTAATTTATCAAAAGGATTGTGATATGCAGTAGAGACTTGGCTAAGAAGCGAGCTGGAAGAGCTCAAAGGATAAAATGAAAATAATGGAACGGCCATTTCCATTAAAGAACACCATTAACACAAATACTAATTGCAAAACACTATAAAGTACTCAAGAAAACTAAAATAATATTGCTGCAGTGAAAAAAAACTCCTTAGATTTATTTGTTCATGCCAAATCACTGTTTTTTGCAGGGGAATGGAGGGAGGTCTTTGGAAACATTCATTTGCTGTTTTCCCCCAATCAGTTATTACACAGACTGATAGCTGCGCTCTGCTTTTCCCTGCCCATAAGAGGCTCACTGAGAGGACAGTACTTCAATATGTTAATCTTGTTATAGTACCATATCCAAAATACACAACAGAAATCAGTGATGGCCAAGAATTTTCTAACTCATTTTTTAAAAAGGTAATCACAAAAGCCAATTAATCTAAAGGTTTGCACAGAAAAGGCATTAAATCTGGCATTAAATAAAACACTGTCTTAAAATATTACCAAGTATAAAACTGAAAAAAAAAAAAAAAATTAAAAAATGTTCTGCCCAGTACAATCAATAGCTCAGGACAGAGTACAATTTGCAAGATCTAAGCTCAAGTTTCTACTGTGAATGCATGTGAGAGAAAGAAGTGCTTTGGAAGGACTTTTCTAAGAAATGTGTTATAATACCTGTACAAATTCCTGAATGTTGAGGCAGCTCAGGTAACTACAATCAACATTCTAACTACATACAGCAGACTGAAAAATATAAAATATACATAATCTATTACAATATTTGCTCAGATGATCTCTGTAAATCAAATATTTTTTCTTTATAGCCATTCTTTGGAGTAAATAAAATTTTTTTATGCTATTTTATTTTTAAGTCATGAAAAATGTTCACTGTGTTCCTGTGTACAGAATTGAGACACACAGAGCATGACCTTGGTCTCTCCAGTTCTTAATAGTGACATTTGGTGTTTTGATGCTAACTGTTTTGATTCAGTGGATAATAAAACATTCAGAGTTCTATGACAGAGGTGAAAACAAAAGGAAAAACACTTCCATCAAAGGACTGGACAAACAGCACATCTCCATACACAGCCCCTCAACAGCATACTGGAGAAGTATTTAGTTTTTGATGTTGTAACTACAAACCCATAACTTACAAGTAACACAAACATGTTCGTAACTTACAAGATCAAAATCATTAATAGACATTTCTTGACTTTCTACCTTTTTTAAAGGATGCTGATTTTCTCCTCTTCCATACCCCTTTTTGGTAACCAGAAGGCAGTTCCTCAGAGTTTGCAATCCCACTGATCGCGTCAAATGTTACAAATTCCAGACAAGAACAAAAAACCCCCTCCTTTAACATAACAGAAGCATTACCTGCTAATAGCTGAGACCAGCTGGTAATTACAGCTTTTACTTATGTGGCCAACAATATTCCTTAGCTAGGCCTGAAGACACTGAGTCTCAAGCACACTTATGAAGATAAAAAAAAGTTCCATCTGCTTGCCATTTCTTTTGGTTGGTTTTTTGTTTCCTTCACAAAACATCTCTTGGAACAGTAGCCCTACATTCTTAAGGGGCAGGCTGGAAAAGGATGCTCTTATACAAATGAGTACTGACTTTTTTTTTTTTTTTTCCTTCTTTTTTTAACTCTACAGCATTTACACATACTAAACTTCAACTTGAAATGTATTTTCTATATATAAAATCAGAACAAGATGTGAAACATTTTCTGTAAAGACTAACCTGTGATGATAAGACATTCATTGTGATCCAAGACTTCAGTGATGAGCCTCGATACAATCAGTTCTGGGTTGATCAAAAACCTAATTTCTTCCTGTACTAGTCCTGCCCCGGTCACACCGCCTCCAACAAAACGGTTTGCAAAATCAACCTAACAAAAAAAATGTATTCAGAAGGATTATGAGATAAGCAAACAGCATAAAATCCTTGAACTTCCCAAGGTAAATAAAGTCCTGTCCAAATTTCAATAATTCTGTTGAAATCTGCTGCTATCACTTAAAGATGCAAGCAGCAGGACAGAGCCTGATTAACAGCATGGCTTTCTCTTTTTTTTTACTTTCTACTTCTCAGAAAACTTAAAAGAAGACAAGTGAGATATAATACAGGAGAATGAAGTTTTGCATCCCAAATGCTCTGAATCCAAGTTCTGTGGGTTTTCATTGAAGAGCACATATTTAACAACAAAACACATTTCAGTAAATGTGAAAGTTGAAAACAGCAAATTACAGTATTCTTTTGTATTCTGTGGACATTGAAGAATTAAGTTGTTATTTAATAAGATTCTGTCCCAGTTTTACACCCTGAAGCATTCTGAGATTAGCATCACCCCTGTACCAGTTGTTCTGTACATAAAAGAATCCCTTATGAATTCTCCTTGAAATGCACTTGAACAAGGCAAATAATTTTGATCATTAAGGTTTATGCTTGAAACAGAGAAGCTCTGGACTCTATTTTTTGCTGCAATAAGACATATTTTAGAAACTACATTTTCATATAGACAACCATTTTAAAAGGATTTATTCAATAAAGTGATTTATGCAAATTAACTGCCACATACATTTATAATTTTAAGAAGTCACTTCATCTTTCAAATGCTATTAGCTTCTTACTGATTTTTATTTAGATAGCTGATGAGAGCACATTTACAGAAAGGGAACAACAGCTGCTGCAGTGACATGAACATCTCTGTAGATTACAAACCGATTCAGGAGGAGTCAAGAGTCAAGTCTAAAGCACACTAAGAGCCAGCCCCTACAACAGCAGGTGTTCTTGCAGTCTATCCTGGAAACACTTCACTTGTTTAAGATTTGCTGAATTGACCATGATACAGAAAAGTAACATGAAACCTGCCCAAATGTTCAGTGTGTCAGGGCCCCAAATGCACTTTAACTGTGCTGAGTACCCTCACCTTGGGCCCTCGTTCTCACTCCCAGCACGTGGCCCCTGTAGAAACACAAACCCTTATCCTGGACCTCATCTGAGACACAACATGTTTGGAACAATGAGCAGACCTGTCCTCTGCTGATGCCCACTTGCTGACTGAACATCTACGATTGACCCTGGTGACCTCACCCATCACCTTGCTTTTGTCTGACGACCATCAGCCTGCCAGCAGAAACTGTTAGTATCACCATCCTGCTCTGCTTGTCCCAGCCAGCGACCCTGCCCACTGAGGCTGGGGTCACTGTGGATGCCTGCATTGTCTTGCCTTGGTCATCCTGCTCCCTCCTGGAGAGAGCACTCTTTGTCTGAGCAGAGATATTTTGTTTAATAAGACTTGAAATAGCCAGGAGGAAAAATATCACATCCTAGGCAATACTCAATTCTACAGAACGTAACAGAAACAGTACATGAAAAGGCATAATTCAACCTCCTCTCACCTCTGAGGTTATAGAATAGTTGAATAGAGAGACAGCAGAAAAATGGTTATTACTGAGCAGTTGCTGAGTTCTTAATAGTTTCAATATACATTTGAGTGCTCAAGTTTCATAAAGTCATGAGAGATATTAAAGTTTGAGCAAAAATCATTGCAGAAGTCCTCCTATTCTCTCTCCTCCTCTTCCTTTGCAGCACTTGTTCCTAGCTAAAGAAGTTGTAATTTTTTTATTTTTTTTTTTTTTTAAATGAACTCTAGAAGGCATACTTTTTTTTGGGTTTTTTTAGGAAAAGCAAAAAGCAACAAACTAATTTGAAAACTCAGATGTGTTCCTTGCTATAGATATGGAAAGGACATGCTCCTTACGAATTTTTTTCGCTGACTGGCTCCCAGACTGAAACAGTGGTGCTGGCAGCAGCAAGAAAGTCTCCTGAACCACTGACCTGGTCACTGTCTGGGGCACAAAAATATTTTTTAAAAAATAAACTGAAATGCTTGACAACTCATCAAGACCACAGCTTGAAACTTTTATCTTGTCAATCTTTGATCCTGGTTTGAACCAAAAGACCTGAAGCTGTCCAGGGCTTGTGATTTTCTGTCAGCTCTTTCTGTACCAGGTACATGTGCAAACGTAGATGAGCTGGGGAATACTGACAGTTCTAAGACTGCCCTTGGAATTAATTTTGATGTTTCTTTTACACTGCAGAACAACTTGTCATTCAAGTCAATTGAGGATAAACAAATAACTTCGTTAAGCTGGCAGACCATAGAAGTATGACAAAAACATGACATAAAGCCACATTTACGGTTACATGTGCTTACCTGTAGCATACCTTGTCCATTGCTTTCGATGGTGCCTTCATAGGTGACATGCAATCTAGACAGTTTTTTCTGAGATCTGTCATTGAGGAAAAATATTGTGCGGAAAGAATGATTACAGAAACTCCACATAAAAACATCCATTTTAAAAGAAAACCCATCCAAATTCAAACTTCTTGCACACCTTGGTGGTGCGCAAGGTGGTTTAAAAAGAAAAACCTGATGGATTAAAGAAAATGCATTTGCCTTTCAGAAACAATTTGTAACGGTTTAACAGTCAATTGTTCAGTTTCGCCACCTCTTTTCCCATAAAAAACCCTAAATTTGGAATTGGAGTTCTGTGTTTTTCACAGAAGTTTGTCCCACATTAACTTGCTAACCATCAAGAAAGCCGCAACACTTGTGTTTTCACTCTGGTTATCACCCATACTTCACTATATTTCCTGTCATTTCTGAAATCAAGTAATCTGTCTCTTTTTTCCCTTACTCAAGCAACAGCACCAAAGATGTGCTATTTTTTAAAAATTCACGTAAGACTTGTTGGCTTCACAGGCAAACAAACATACTGGAAAACTCAGGGCACTCAAACTATGTGTGGCAATTCATTCACTTCCCTTTGAACTTCTCTCCATAACAATCCATATCAAACATTGCTTTCTGTAGTATTTCCAGGCCTGAATCAATTCCATATGAATGGGATTCAGTTATTGATTTAAGAAATTTCTTACATTAACAGGATGTTTGACTTACCTTTCCCAATCTGGAAACTCCTGGAGACACTGCCTTGTAAATGTCACCAATCCCGTAGGTTCTACAGGCAAATCAACCACAGAGGAAAATGTATTAACTGCTGTAGCTTTAGTCCTTAGGTTACTCTTAAGTGGTAAGCTTTTAAAGTTACAAACAAATATCATTCTTGTCAGAAACACAAGATCAGCTTTGAATCTTCCCCTGACATCCCATGCTCAAATTGAAAACTAGTAACATGAAGACGAAATATTCACTTCTCTTTTCCCTTTGGAATTTGAGTACTTTTCTTTTTCCAGATCAAGGAAAAACTATTTCTTAAGTGATTTTCACTTAAACTGTAACCATTACTAGAAAGACTCGAAGTTAACGTAAAATGTGCTGCCACTTAGGAGAAAAGAAACTGTGAACCTTTAGAAGTAACTACTGTTCAGTGTCAACAGGCAATGCAGAAAGTACTCAACCTATGGACGAAGCAGCAGCTCATATTTCCAAGAAAGTCTTACTATGCCAATAAAGACGCAGTGTTAAGTGGATTCCAGATGAAGCTCTTTTCAGCCCTGCCAGGATGCTAGTGAAATTCACTGTATTTCAACTGAGAAAAGACTGCAGCCCTCAAGTGATAAAGAGGAGCCATTGCTCATTGCAGGAAGGATGCGTTACTATCTTCTCTCCTTATTTTACTCAAAGAAGTTCAGTTTTGCAACAGAAAGAAAATAGCAGCCTTTTACTAGGTGATGTCATCCTAATAAAAACATCATTTGAGACTCATTCCTTTGCTCCTGTAAACCTACTACTCTGGCTTGTGAAAACCATTCAAAACAGTATATAAAGTACAAACATGTTCTTCCAAAAGCTTTATGTTTTTATTCAAAATTATAGGGCTTTAGGGAAAAAAAAGGGTTGCTTGCTCTTAAAAAAAATAAAAATTAAAAAAAAAAATAAAATCACAGGTTTCAGTAACCAAGTGTTTTTCCACAAAGGAACTCTGGTATCAATGGTGATATTTTAAAACTTAAGCATTCACCTTTTGGGCACAAAGTCTTCAGCTGACATAATCTCTATTGTGTTGTTTTACAAGGAACTCAATTACCATTTACAATAAAAATAGTTGCAAAATTACTATAGTAATTTATAGAGCTAAGTTACTTCAGCCTTACTAATTCCTTGGACAAAAAAATAACAAGAAATGGGGTATTTTACAGGTATGATAGGCATTTTTATTTCAAGAAAATGGCACAGAATACTTTAATTAAATATTATTTAAAGTAATAACATTTAAAAAATCTAATATGGTAGTTTCATAAAGCATGTTCCCAATTGATTTCATATGCACAGGGGGTCAGGGACAGCTGCATAAATTTAAGATTTGGTTTTCATGAAAACATTATTAATTAAATATTAAAAAAACCCCAAACTAGTACACTACATCTCAGTCCCACACATGGATCACAATTTACTTTTTACCTCAGAGATTGAATTCTACTGACATTGCTGAAAGTTTGATAGCTGAAACAGGATGTAGCTGCACTGAATTCGTGGTAAATTAAAGTGAACTGAAGATAGACTAAACCAAGTAAAGGGATTTTTATATTTACTAGCTTAAAGCTGTCTTTCTTTGAAAACAAACTTTTCTGAGAGATTATGAAGCTAATAGTGAAATACTGACATGTAAAGAAAAAGTTATTTAAAAAAAATACTGTAAAAGGGATAATGCTGCAGATGTGGTGTATGCTACTGCAGTAAAGTATTTTTCTCCCTCAAAATACAACACATAAGCTCTGATACAATTCTCACAAAAATAAATTTATTTTTGAAACCTTACGTAGATGCTCAAATTAATGGTAACAACAGAAGATCTGACTATGCACACTAAGGAAAATATCACACTAACTTGTAAAAGAATTTGGGATATGTCTTGCTATCACTTGTTTTATTTGAACTGGGTAAACTTCACAACAGCTTTGCTTTGGAACAACAGAAGGGAAAAACCTGAAATATCAACACAAGTAGGAGAAAATCCCTCAGAACTACAAGCGTTATAGTCAAAGGACTAGATGTGCATACTTCAGGAAATCTGAAGCTTGATTCAGCACCTTTAAGCCTGTGATTTTGATGACTACATATGGTGCTAAGCTCCCTGTACATTCTCACTCTGATGCAGTGCAGCAAGTAGTTGCATATATTGCAAACTTTATAGATATATATACTTATATATACATGTACCCACACTTAAATACACATACACTTTATATATATACATATATAAAAAGGAGGGTGAAAATATATCTCTCTGTATTTTACACGTCCCCATATACATCTCTCTCTCAAAAAATAAAGCAGAATAAGTTCTGTGCAAAAAATTTAATTGCATGCATCGTCTATATGAGAAGTGACATTAATGTGAATATAAGTGTGCTTGGCAAGCTGGCTTTTCTTACACATTTCCATCATAATGCTGCATAGTCATTTCTAAATTTAATGGGATTGAATTTTTCATATATCAAATGATATATCAATTTTTCATATTTTTGTAGCTCAAAGAAAGAATAAGGAATATACTTTTTTCTGTGACTCTCCTAAAATAGCAGAAAAGGGTCTTAAGTTTCTCAGGCTTCCTTGGTGATCGTCCTTCAAACAATCTGAAAAATGAGAAATAAAACCAATTAATTAGATTTCAGGGATATAATGTATAGTAATTGTGCTAGTTATTGTGATTCGATTTTTTAACTATTATGCATATATTGTGATTAGCCTTGTCTTCAAATACTGTGGAAATAACTCCCTGGACAGCTCCTCTGCAACACGAGTCTTTAGGAGTAACAAGTTCATTCACTTGCTAAGTTTCTGATGAAGATGCTAAGTGAATGCTTACCTCACTCATACTGATTTTGAGGTATCAAAAAACACAATTTCCACATGAACATCCAGGAAAGCTACCAGTTTTATCTGCAACAGACTGGATTAGATTAAAATAAATTACTGAGAGGTAAAAACATGCATGTTGAATACTCCAAGGTCCAAATGTCTTACTCGGTGACTTGCAGAGAATTAATGCAACCATACTGCTTTCAAGAGCTGCACCACACCAGCAGCGTTTCTAAAGAAAAGAACCTACCCGCAACAGAAACTGCTTCATCCACTGGGCTACTACTGGCATGCTAACATCCATTTGTAAAAATCTAAGCATTAAAAAGAAGCATCCTATTTTTAGCCATTAAGTGAATGTATTCTTTTAAGGTTAGCTGAAATACTTTTACTGCATCATCTATCTTCCAGCAACTTGAACACCCATTACTTAATTTCACTTCCAACAAAGCGACAAGGCATTGTTATTGGCAACACATAATGGAATTTATCTGGAAGGAAGAACAGCGGCGACTTCAGAAATATCCTTTGAGTAGGAAGTTCACTAAAAGATGTCTGATACAGTGAAAGCCCTGAGGATGTAAGATCTCCCTCCCCTTCAATAAACAGTCTAAGTAAAGGGATGACACAACATTATTCATTTGTTTCCATATACTGGAATGACAAACCGCCTTTAAAACCAGAACGCTGTCAGGTAAATTTAGCTTTTAATAGTGAAGTGAACTAGATTTTTTCAGTATTTAAAAATTCTTATGAAGCATACATGCTGAAGAGATGAATTTCATCCAAAATCTGTATTAACTCAGAGAAGCTAATTTTAAAAAGGTTAAAAAGGTTTTATGAAAACTTTTTTATTCTTTGAATAAACAATCAAGACTTGAAGCAAGCAAACTCCAGATTTATACTGCCTATTTTAAAATGGGTTGATATGCAAGCTCTATCAAGGGGCTATGTATACACAACTAATAAGGGTTTCCTAAGAGAAATTGTGTGTGTGGTGTGCAGGTCTTGCCTAAATACATAAATTATCTCTGACCTTTTATCTGGAAGTCTCATTTGGTATGAATCCTGTAAACTGGTTATTTTATCTATTAACCCAATCATGCCTTCACTATTTTTTTGCCTCTTTACATCAAGCTGAAATCTTGCTTACGTTCCATACTCTCAGGAGAGAGTTCTTCATGTCACAAAGGTGATACATGATTTGGCTTAACTAGTAAGACTGGGCAGGGGAAGTCCAGAACTGGAAAAACTATGCCTGAAATAAGCCAGATCAAGCTAAAAGGCAATGGCAAGGCAGATGGACTTGGTTTCATCCATTGCAATTACTCACCAAAATACAGTCACTCTGTCAAGTAGGGAATTTCAACCAAATATTTTCTTAAATCTGAAGTGTTCAGCATTGGCCTGTCTTTTCTCTTGTTAAAAGTTGTGATAACAACCTCTCTTCTTTCTCCTCTGAGATCAAAGGTAGAGTAATGCTGATTTGCTTCTGAAAAATCTCATTTACAGCAGGTAGATATTCACAAAACACTATCTATAATTACAATAATGAGAAGAGATATCTGTATTTATGTTCTAGCCCTATATGGCTGGGTAAAAACCAGCACAAAAGAATTTGAAAAGCTCTGGGTTCTGGCACAGGCATCCCTTGCTGTAGATGGATATTCCATACAGTGGGGACAGAAGAACACTGTGGCATTCAAAACTACCTGTATTTTGACCTAGTAGCTACATGCACACAGTAACTACGTGCATCAGATCTTTTACAGCAGTTAGCCCAAGAGCAGTCAGCCCATTGCCCTTCTCCTCCTCACAGTATTTGCTTTGCTTCACTATGACATAACATATATTGTACTTTCTCTTTGAAAATCCACTGTTAAATACAGAAAAATATATTTTTATTATTTATTTATTTATTAAAAACAAAACTAGGCAACACCAGTCTCACATACATGTTTTAACACTGTATCCACAACAAATGACATCTGTCCAAAACAGCACACACTCATAGAAGGATAGCCATTTATGGCAAGTTGAAGACACCATGTCTTAGATTAATATTCTTGGATTTACCTAGTATTTTCGGTGTCTAGAATTTACCTTCATTAGTGAGCTACCTGCAAACATGCTTTTTATTATATGTTTGCAAAACACTAGTATATTACTTGTATATTTTCATATAACCAGACCAAGAAACTCTTCTCTTCAGCTATTTTAAGTAAAAGTGCTTTACAGCATCAAGAATTTGTTTTAAAGGCCAATTAGACCAGTGGAAAAATCTCCACAGATTTTAATGGGCTACAAATTAGCCTTAAACCCTCAGAGTATCTAATTATTTAAAGTTATTGATACAAATTCAGTTGAATTTGATTGCTTCCTATGTTCTTTTAAATCTCCACAGAAATCACATCACAATGACATCAATGATTCAGAATTCCACCAAGCTAAAGTCAGAAGAAAAGCACAAGGGAAAAACCAACACCCCCCACCCCATACACACAGCAGCCAAGCTTCCTGAACCACAGCACAAAGTTATCAGTCATCCTTGTGAATAATGACAACAATCAAAAATGGCCCAGTCCTGCCCATTAATTTAAGTGAGGATATAACAAGGCAAAGTTATGAACATTTTAACCTCGAACCTTATTTCTAAAATGATCAGTTAGGCAGCACGAGCAGTTTTATTTCTGAAGCAAATATCTCTGTTTTGAAGAACAAAGCTAGACGAGGGCATCAATAAGGTATTAAATAAAATTATTCTTCAAGCTCTGAGACACAGATCCTACTGAAAAAAAAAAAAAATCACCCAAAAATGTAAGTGGAAACCACATAATCAATTTCCTGACAGAAGAACCCAAAGTCAAAACCCATTAATTTCAATTAAAGAACTGAACCAAATTAAGCACACTGTAAATCAAATGCAAAGCACTGCAAGCCCACTTTCAGTTGAAGTAATTGAAATATTACTGGCAACTGCATATGTAAGCTGTTTTGCTTTGTACAAGATGTTCCCACTGCCATGTACCTAACTTCAATTTAGCAGATACAGGAGCTAAGAAAGCTTGCAGAGCTGATCACCAAACTCAGCTGCAAATTTATCTCTGGCTCTCCGGCTTACAGGCCAGGTCAGTGGTAATGTTAATTAAAACAAAAAAAACCAAACCAAACCAAAACAAAAAAGACCCCTAGAGAGATACACTTAAGCATTCAAGGAATCACAGTCAGAGATTTAAAAACATAAGAAAGTAAATGTGCAAATAGTGTCATAAACACAAAGCAGATTGTTAAAGTCATTGTGGCTAAATGAAAACTCTTTCCTAGCAAATATTCAGACACTTGATTCAATTGTTCTGAAGAGAAATCTTATCTATGAAAAATAAAATATTTAAAATAATAACAACATACTGGGAAAATATATTAAAATTAACAACTGTCAGTAAACATACAATGAAGTTACAAGATAATATCATACTATTTCAATAATTATTACAAAAACATGTGTAGTTGTTTTGCATTAGCTTTTTCCTAAAAAAAGCATTTTAAAAGTGTAACCAATATTTTGGTTCTTGCAGTCTCATCAACTGCAAACTCAGAATTGCCTTATTTTCAACGAACATTTCCCACTTAGAAAGCTGGACCCAAAAGCTCCAAGGAACTTGCTCCTAAGTCCTTCGAGTGCCAAGGCAAGCGGCAAATCTGCAAGGTGCTTCAAAGGGTGCATTTCCAATGACGCAACATCAACATGATTTAATAACATTAAGAGCTACACAAAAGCGACCTTGGCATGCATATAGTTTACTGGGGAAAAGTTAAACCAGCTTAAGGAAACAGTTCTGAGATACATTGCTTCTGATTAAGGTACAATTAAAATGCAGTAGTTTACTTGCAAAATTTAATTTCCAAGTAGTTAAATTGATCCCTTGATGTTACTTGAAGAACTGGCTCCAGTAATTTTTACAAGCAGAAGGAACTTTTAGAATTATGTGGTTTAACCTCCCAGTTAAATAATTTCATATCAATATTTCCATCCCCAGCCTGTAACCTCCCATCCCCAGGCTGCTCTTCCTTTGAATGTTTCTTTTCATTGAAATCAGAACCTATCACAAGACTCAGAAAGTGTCCGTGCTATAACAATATGCAAAAATCTGCAGTATGGATGATACTTCAAAGAATACTTCCCATCCATAAATCCATGGCATGTCCTGTGTGCTACCTGCAAAAGTGTGCATACACAGTTTTACAGTTATGGTCCCCACAATTAAATATGTGTGCTCTTTCTTAACTACCATGGGCACTAAAATGTGCCTTTTCCTTTGCTACTATAGTTGAAGACACACTTGTATTGTTTCTTGCATTTTAGTGTGATCACAGCTAAGCAAGTGCAAGACATTTTGCCAAAACCTCATTTTTGTCCTGCAAATAAAAGTGGAAGAAGGATTCACAAGGAAGTAGTATGAACAGATTAATTTCACCCAGTAAAGGGACCAAGCAGGAAGGAAGGAAAGTTAAGGCAGAAAGGAAAATACTGAATAGACAATCTCAAGAACGGAGCTAATCACTAAGCAGAGCTTTAGTTTAACATACAGAATGATAAAACATCTGGGGAGAAAAAAAAAAAAAAAAAAGAGTAAAATGAGCACCTTACGTTTTGTAACTTGCTGCATTTCAAAGTCTAAGCTTACCTGATGCATACAGGTAGGGATGGAAACACTACGCTTACGTATGTACTGTCAAACTTGTATTACCCTCCATATGATTGAGGGCCATTTCC